GGAGAGGCATAGTGGTGGACACCGTGGTGCTTGGCGTGGTGCGCGAGTGCGTCGCGGTGCACGCCGTGATGCCGCCAGTGCGTACTGGGAGGTCGCGTTGTCGTGCAGGCGCCACCTCCACTCTTCCGCCGAGCCGCCTGGGCAAGCCTGAGGGACCCCTTCAAAGGCGCGGCGTGGCCAGAACCGCCCAGGAGGGTACGTCACCGTCCTGTTGTTCGTTATCATGGTGCTGCCCCCAGATGCGCTAGTAGTAGGCGTGATGCACGTAGCACTGTTCGTCTCTCTCGCAGATGGGAGGCAACTAGTGATGGATCCGGTCGTACAGCTCAACGCTATGATGCTCGCTTACATCTTGCTGCTTGTAGACGGCCCGGTGCCTGGGGCGGGTTTCCTGTGGCCCCCCACCTTCAGAGGCGTCATAGCCTTGTGCCTTATCCAGCGCGGTGAGTTCGAGGCAGGTGCCGCCGGGCTCGCCCAGGCGACCGCTTGAAGAGGGCGCTCGTCCAGGCGCCGGTTTAGGCGGTCATGCTCGTCCCACCCGGTGTGGGGCTGCTGATGCTGGATCCCGTGGCACTTCACGTCGTGGTCGTGCTCGACTCCGTCGTGCCGCACGGTGTCCCAGTGCTGGTCGCGCAGGTGTTGCTGGTGGACATGCTGCTCAAAGCACTGGTCGTCGCCGTCATGAGTGTGAGGCTGCTGGCGCGCTGGCCATGGAGCTCATTGCGCTGTTCATCACACTCGTGTAAGTGAGGGCGTGGGTGCTGGCTCCCGTCTTGCTATGTTCGACGCTGTGGTGCTCCACCTCCTCGCGCTGCTCAGAGCCGAGGTGCTGGTGACAGACGTGATGTTGAGAGACGTGATTATGCAGGGCCCAGTCATGCTGCCCAGCAGCGCGGTACTCTACCCGGTCGCGTTGCCCAGAATCGAGGTATTGGTCGAAGGCGCGTTGTTGAAATACGTGGTGTTCGATGCACCGCTCGTCTCACTCTTTGCGCATAGGGGTGAACAGGCTGGAGCTCTATCCTGTCGTATTCCACGTCGTATTGCTCGATTGCTTCGTGTACACGGTGTCACGATGGTCCTGGGCGTGAAGGTCCAGGCCGTGATGGTCGGCGATGCCGTCGTGCTGCTCAGAGACGAGGCGGTGGTCCCTGACGCACTGCTCGAAGACGTGGTGCTCGTCGCACTGCTCGTCTCCCTCGTAGTGGGGCTGTTTGTGCTGTATCCTGTCGTGATGTCCGACACAGTGGTGCTCAACTCCGTCGCGTTCCCTGGTGTCCGTCTCACTCGTGGGTGTAAATATGTTGGGGCTGAAGCTCGTCTTACTACTCGACGTCGTTGTGCGCGATGGTGTCGTGCTGCAGGGTCTTTCTCACACGCTCTCCCAGTCAGCAGCTCGTGAGGGGTCGTGCCGATGAGCTCATGCGGGGCCTCCTAAGCGTCACCTCCAGGATAGCGGGGAGAGGGAAGCCGACGGGTGGCTGCCGTCCGCGTCATTGCTTGCGGTGCTTGCGAAGGCGCACCCGTTGCCGCGGCCAAGCCCCAGGGTGAGCGTGGGCCTTGTCGGTGCCAGTCGCTGGTGCGACGGCTGGCATTGGCGGTGCGAGCTCAGATGCCGGCACGGGCTTTCGCACGTACGCCTGGTGGGCCCCGCCGTCGGCGCGGACGGCGTCTCTGTTGACCTGAGCCCCGACGACGATGGGGTGTTGCTTCTCGCCCATCCGGCCTCCCCAGGGGAGGCAATAAACGTGGGGGATTGAGGACTGCAGGACAGTGGCCCGAAAGGGGTCCTGCATGGCTTTCAAGGTGTACCAGGCGCGCGTTTCTGTACCACGCGCCTGCGGCGGGGTCGTTCGTGAAGGAATGTGCCCAAGAGGCGTCAGGCCCTGGGCGATTCCTTATCTGATGCTGAGGGCGGCGGTGATATCCATGGCCAAGCCGCAGTTGGTGCTCCACCGGCTTCCAGACCCGACTCCTCAGCCAGTGGTTCCTTATCCATTGCGCTAACAGCAGTGCCCCTCTGTTAATGAACACCCGAAACCAAGGAAAGGTACCCCACGCAGCACGCGCAGGGACACGGCGCGGCGCGGCCGTACTCTCGACACGGCAGGTTGCAGCACGGGTGGCGCCACGAATCGTGGTATCGGTTTCGCCGCAGCCCGCCCGACCGAGTTACGTCTTGGCAGGCTCTGTCCAGGTCCCACCAGCAACTCAGAACACGTGCGACTCGTTCAAGCGCCACCGAATAGCTGTCAGCCAAGGCGCTCAATGTTGTACAGTCTCTTGTTCTTTTTTTGTTCGCGACACTATCCCCCATCATCGTCTGGAGATCTCGTGTTTGGGCCCGCGTGTTCTACCGAGTACCGGCGCTATCATACTGAATGATTGGAGAATACAAATTTCGGGCACACAGAGACGTGCATAGAAGGCACACGACTGCGGCAGCCATCACTTTCTTCCAGGCTCCGGCAACCCCGTCAATCCCGTCCACACGCGCCTCCGCCTCTGCGAAGGCGGCTCTGTGAGGGCGGCTCACCACCCCTCTGGATGAGTGAGGCCCCCCCCCCAGCTTCGAAGGGAACCTTCCCTTGACCATGCACTTTGTGATACAACGTGCGAGTCCCCGTCGGCAGTCCTGCTCACCTCTTCTTAGCCTTCTTCTTCGAATCGCCCTTGGCCCCCTTCCGCCGGAAGACTGTCGTCTCGATCTCCTTGGCGACGCCGCTCTTGGGGCCGTGGTCGTAGCCAAGATTCAAGCGTGCCGCGGCCAGGCACCCGTTGACCCGGAGCGTCTCGAGAGCGTCCTTCAGCTCGCGTTGCGAATTCATCGCGAAAATCCACCGGACGTCGTCCTCCTTCTCTTCGTCCATCCCGCCGTCGCTCGGCTTCACGGTCACGTGGAAACACCTCGTCGCCACGACCCTCGCCTGGGGGTTCTGTGCGATCGCTTTGTACTTGGCCAGGGTGTCGAGCGCCGCGGCGGCCTGCTGCGCCATCGCCCCGCAGCCGGCCGCGGCCTTTACCTCTTGGGACTTCGCCTCCGCGGCCTCGGTGATCCTGAAGATGACGGCCCTGAGGAGGAAGTCTGGCTTCTTCCCGTCCGGGTGGCCTTTGTACTCCCCCTCCTCCGCCTCCTCCCTCGCCTGCTTCCCCTTCCTGTTGTAGCTGTCCTCTGAGGTCGCCAGCGCCACTTGCACCGGGTCGTCCGCTGCCATGGTCAGCGTGAAGTTGTCCTCCCTGGAGTTCGCGTTGAAGTTCGTCTCGTGCTGAAGGAGTAACTTGGCGAACAATTTGTCCAGCTTGCGCACGCCCCCTGGGCCGACCGCGGTCCCGTCTTCCCCCGCTGCCTCGGCCGCGGCCCCCTCCCGCGGCCTCCGGGTTCCCTGGCCCTGACTCGCCTGGGAGCCGATCGGGGCGAACATGATCACCGACGACGTTCAACGCCGCAGAACCTGCAGGACGGGCGCGGGCGAGCGCGCGAGACGGATCTCGAGCCGAGATGCGCCCCGGAACGGCAGGACATCGATCTTCGACATGCCCCTGTGGGTTAACATGCTGGCCCTCTGCGTGCACATGTGATTGAACATGCTGGCTACGTGTGCCCACGACGTGTGGTTGAACAAGATGGTGGCTTCCAGTTAATGCCGGGCAGCGCTGCATACGGATATGCTTGACGAGGCTATCCACACGGGCGAACGTACGGGAACAGTGAGGACACGTTTTTGTGCGAACGAACTCAATGTCGATGGACGCAGGGTTAGCTACCACTCCGTGCGCCTTCCTCCGGTGAATGTCTAATCCTTTAGCTCCGCGGCACTGCCGGCCGCACTCCGGGCACGTAAGTAAGGGCTGTTGAGCAGTGTCTGCACCATCACCGCGCGCATCAGATTCCGCAGCGAAGGAAAGTACAGCCTTGAAACAGATTTTCGGGACGTTTGTAAGCCATTTCAACCACTCCGGGGAGAGCTGGGGACCGCCGTCTTGCAAGTGGAACTCGATGCGGGTAGAAGCTTGGGCAGCCGATGACATCGTACCCCATAATGCCGTAAGATCCTGGAGCAGCAGCGTCATCCTCTCAGACGGCTCGTGGAACGTTGCTGCCTCGAAACATAATCGGCCAAACAGGGCGGCCCTGAGGGCGCGAGTGGGATCGTAAAACGTCTCTGGGTTGTCACCTCGGTCCTCGAAGGCGGGGCTGACCACATGCTGCCACCACGCCAGTCTCCGGCAGAGCAGCGTCGATGCTATCGTGTGCACCTTGTTCTACCAGAATCCGCCGCCATCACGCCAGTCTCTTGTTCTACCAGAATCCGCCGCCATCACTCGCGCTATCCGATGGCCCCACGGATTAAAACCATGGCCTGCGCGCGCCGCTCCGAGTCCCGCACGCCGTGCGACAGGGTGCGCCGCAAGCTTCGCGCGACACGCGCTCGACGACATCTGACCCTGGTCCAGGATCCGCCGCAGGTTGAGCCACACGTGCGCAGTCGTGGGCCACGCACGGCGTGCGCCCCTGGGAGCTGGCCCGCGCGTGGCTCCGCTCCTGGCAAGGCAGGGGGTCCTCGCGGCAGTCGCCGTCCAGGGAAGCAGGCCGTCGGAGGAAAGAGCACCAGCCCACTGTCAGTCTTCGCCCCCCCTCCGCTTCCCCCCCCCCGCTGACAGTCATCGCCCCCCTGGTCTCTCCCTGCGCCCCCCCTCTCTCTCCCCCACGCAGTGCCTGCCCAACACCATCCCCCTTGCCTCGCCGTCCCTCTCCCCGCTCCCTCCCCCTCCTGCTGCTCCTCCTCCTCGTTCCTCTCGCTTCCTCTCCCGCCATCCCCTCCAGATCATCCTCCTATTGCATGTCCCCCCCCTCCGTCCATGTCGTTGATCTCCCTCCCTCCGCTTCCACATCTTGGAAGGAGGCTGCAGGGGGAGGAGGTCTGCGGGCGAGGCGTGCTCTCCCTCCGTCCCCACGTCCTGGGAAGTTGGAGTTGGAGGGGGGGAGGCCCGCGGGCGAGGAGCTCAAGTCGATCGACGACAACCTGCACAGCTACGGCTACGAGCTCGTCGAGCAACTGAGGCCTCCCAGTCCTGCGCCTCCTCCTCCTCCTCCTCATCCTCCTCCTCCTCCTCCTCTTCCTCCTCTTCCTCCTCTTCCTCCTCCTTCTTCTCGTCTTCCGCCTCCTCCTCCTCCTCCTCCGCCTCCTCCTCCTCCTCCTCCAACAGGCACCAGGACCCCCTCGGCAAGAACATGCCCCCGCAGGAGCATCTCGGCGCGCATGCCCCCCTTGGAGGGGGCAGGAGGGAAGAGGGAGGGGGAGGGAGCAGGAGGAGGAGGAGGAGGAGGAGGAGGAGGAGGAGGAGGAGGAGGAGGGGAGGAGGAGGGGGAGGGGGAGGAGGAGGGAGGAGGAGGGAGGAGAGGAGGGAGGAGGAGGAGGAGGAGGGAGGAGGAGGGAGGAGGAGAGCAGAGGAGGAGGAGGAGGAGGAGGAGGAGGAGGAGGAAGTGGAGGAGGGTGGAGGAGGGTGGAGGAGGGAGGAAGAACACAGGCAGTACTATGGGGGAGCAGAGGGAAGGAGGAGGAAGAGGAGGAGGGGGGGAGGAGGAAGAGGAGGGGGAGGAGGAGGAGGATGAGGAGGAGGAGGAGGAGGAGGAGGAGAAGAGGAGGAGAAGAGGAGGAAAGAGGAGCAGGAGGGGAACGAGGAGGAGGGAAACGAGGGGCAGGGGAAGGGGCATGGAAGGGCAGGAAGCGCGCCTCGACGCCCCAACGGGAGGATGAAGGTTGGTGAGCGAGCGAACGAGGGAATTGCAGGAGGGGGAAGGGGGAGTGGGGGGGCGGCCCTTGGAGGCTGGACTGCTACGCCACAGGATCACAGGAACACCCGAGGAGGAGAAGGAGGAGGGGGGGGAGGAGCGGGGGGAGGAGGAGCAGACGAGGAGGAGAAGGAGGATGATGAGGAGGAGGAGGAGGAGGAGACCCAAGACCCATCAGCGATGCTGGAATACACCCTTCCTCCAAGATCCCTCTGCACAGGCCCCTTGCAGGGGTCAATTCCACCGAGTGGATTGCCACGTTGGGGGGCAATCGTGTGAACGTCTTGAAGCGTGCCAAAACACCATTCTTGGAATTTCAACACCAAGAGCTAACCTGACTGTTACGTGTTGGCGATCCTGAGCCGTCCCAGACCAACATTCCTGGGTTTTCAGCACCGCGAATCAGACTAACTCATGTGCCCTGGAAATCCTGAATCGCTCCAAACATTGATTCTTGTATGTTAACCATGTTAACCATGAGAGCCCCTGAAAGTAGTCAAATTGTTTAGTGCGCGGCGCTAAGGCGAGAGCCACATTTTGAAAACGCCCCCCCCCTCAATCCGTGAAACTCTTGCATATATGTTTAATGAATGTCTGCGGCGCTAATGCGAGAGCCACGTTTAGAATACGGCGCGCCTTCAATATGTGAAACTCTTCCAAAGGAATTTGCACGGCGCTGAGGCGAGAGCCACACGTTGAAAACCACCCGCCCTCAATCCGCGAAGCTCTTGCCATTTGTTTTAACGAATGCGCGCGGCGCTAAGGCGAGAGCCACTTTTTGAAAACAATCCGCCATCGAGCCGTGAAACTCTTGCAACAATAGGAAGTCGCAGGCGAAACGCCTGGCCCGACCTTTCGATCGGCCTCGGGATGCGAAAGGGAGGAGATAATTGTAAGGAAAAGGATGGAAGAGGAGAAGGAGGAGGAGCAGGAGGAGCAGGAGGAGGAGGAGCAGGAGGAGGAGGAGCAGGAGGAGGAGCAGGAGGAGGAGGAGGAGGTAGGAGGAGGAGGCGGAGGAGGAATGAGGGAGGAGGGAGGGGGGCCGGGTGGAGAGGTACGCCGAGGTGGTCGCTGTCTGCGCTGCGGGCCCCGGGCGCGTCCGTTGTGCAGCCCCTCTGGAGGGGGGAGGGTCCCGAGGCAGAGGCTGCAGTCGAGACGCTGGAGGCAAGGACCCCTTCGGGCTCAGGAGGGGCTCTGGCTGTCTGGCCGTTCCTTCGGTCCGGGTCGGCGTTCGTGGGCGAGGCTCGCGGTGGCCAGAGAGGCGCCTCTGTGCCTTCTTTGGCGCTCCTCCTGTTCGCACGCACGCGCTCTGCGGCCCAAGGAGCCAAGGTCGCCCGATGTCGCGCCACGCACCGCCGCGAGAGCACCGAGCGCGGCCCAGCCCAGGCCGCGAGGCGCGAGGCGCGACCTTTTGTTTGCCAGCAGCGAGGGCGGACGCCAAGGCGTTCGGGAAGCTGGAGGCGGCAGCGGAAGGCCGGAGGACTTCCGAGCCTTCTGAGAAGGCCCGCCCCTTCTCACTTCCCCCCCGAGCTCGCCGTCGAGAGGGGGAGGAACAAGGAGGGGGAACGCGGGAGGAGGCCTCAGTCGAAGAGAGTCTTCGCAACGAGCCGGGCATAGCGAGGGCCCCAGTGTAAGGGGAGCTGGCTAGTGATGGGGCCCCGAAGCCCAAACTATGGACTGGAGTCCCAAACCCAGGCCTGCCGCAGCTGGTGTCTTCGGGTGACGGCAGGTCTGGCTATGTAGTGGAACGGGGTGGGGGGGGGCCCCCCCCTGTGCACATCGCTAGACCAGGTCCCACCAGACCCGGTCCCGCGAACGCCCGAACGAGGAGTGCACAGGCAGCCGCGGGCACCGGAGGCCAGGGCACCAAAAGGGGTGTGCGGTGCGTCGACGCTGCCGAGGGGGGGAGGGATTCAGGCGGCGAGCGGGGGGGGGGAGGGAGAAGGAGAAGGCATTCGCAGAAGGTTTGGGAGTCCCTCTGGCCTTCTGAGAAGTTTTCGGAGCTCTCCCGGAAGACAGAAAAAACTGCTCAGAAGGCGCGAGGGTTTCTGAGAGGTCCCGCCGCCTTCAGAGAAGGCCTTCTCCTTCTCACTTTCCCCCTTCGCTCGCCGCCAAGCATTGCCGTGACCCCAGGCACAATGCCGCTGCTGAGGCAGAGGGAAGGAAGACAGGGAGGGAGCAGGAGCCTCGCCTCCCGGCGGATCCCGTGCGGGCGCAGTGACGAGGGGGAAAGTCTTCCACACCTCGGCCACTCCGACGCATGAGAGTGACCCTTCTCGCAGAAGGAGAAGACAGCTGTGATCCAAACTTTCGGAGGTCTGCGAGGACTTCTTGGATCTGCTCTGGGCCCCCGTGGCGGCGCCTGTGGCGCCAGCCCTGGTGCGCTCCGCGCTCCGCACGGACCTCCAAAGTCTTTGTTAAGCGCTTGTGTCTTCTTCTACCTTCGCTGGAGTGGCCTTTTGCGCGCGGCTCTTGGGGGGCGCGGGGGGGCCAAGCTCGAGCACGCAGGCCGATGATATCGCATCGCAGGCAGCAGCTGGCGAGCCGCGCACCGAGCGCTATTCTTGCCCATGGTGTCACTCTTGCGTTGCAGCCGAACACCGCACGCGGACTGCTGAAGTAATCTCGGGCCTCGTGGCTTGTGGTTTTCCGCAGGTTCGTGTCGTGTCGTCGCGGCGGCGACCCCAGCGCGAGCGCTCACCGTTGAACACCGCCAGCGGCCCAGAACCAGCCAGTATGGAAGGATCTGGCGATCGAAAGTCCGCCGCTCGTTCGAGCGCGAACGGTCCACGCGGTGTCATAAGCCAGCGCCGGCGACGTCACGACGCGGCCCTGCCGCGGGCATCTGCGCCGCGGCCCAGGACGCGCTCTACAAGCTGGTCAAGTGAGGCCGCCCCCGCGGGCCAGGGCCGTCGCGCTGCCCGGCGCGGGCGCGCCCGGCGCCGGTTCTTGGCGAGCTCGGGGCTCGGCCGTGTCCTGGGCATTCCTCTTGCCAGGGACCGTCGAGGAGCATCCCTGGATCACCTCGCGAGAAAAGCGCGCGAAAGTGGAACATGCAGAGGGAGTGGACGTCCGAGCGATGGCGGGCATCGCTGGACGGGGCCAGGACGCGGAAAAATCCGTTCCACAGCGTTTCAGAACGCTCTCAGATTCTGGAACGCTCTGAGAAGGCTGCGGCGCCCGAGACGTCCTCCAGAGCCGCCAGGTCTCAGAGATTCTCGATTCATCCTCACCCGATTTTATGCTCGTCCTGGCTCCGTCTCACATCGGGCCTTCCAGGCCCGGGAAAATCGAGAGTTGTAGAGGAGAGCTCCAGGCTTGGGGCGCGGGGTGTGGCCACGACCTCCGACGTGGTGGTGTTTTTTTGAGGGAGGCGCGGTCCCAGGGGAGGTCTCGGCCTCCCTCCCCCTTGGCCTGTCCCCCGAGGCCCAGACACCCTTTGCGATGTGAAGAAACCACGACGGGAGGTTTTTTGTTGCTGCTTTCGGCTGCAGCTGGGAGCCCTGACAGGGCCTCGGAACCGTCGAGACTCGGCTCGGGGTGAGAAGCCACTCTCGGGGAAAGGGGTCCAGACCTCGGGGGGGGGGTCGACGCCGTGCAGGAGTCGCGACGGCGGGGGCCTGGAGTTCCAGCAGGGCCCCGAGCTCCACAAAGGGCCCCGGCGGCCGAGCCAGGTCCGCAGGGCTCTGGTTCCCTGCGTCGCAGCGCTCGGGGAGCCGCGCGCCCCGCTGTGTCCCAGCAGCGCCGCTGGCAGCGGCGCTCGCTTCTCCGCCTCTGCGCAGGCGCACCTCTGACGCGCACGGCTTCTCCGTCTCTCCCCGGGCGTACGGCTCCAGCAGTGGCGAAGCGCCCTGGCGTGCCTCTAGCATTACCAAGCAATGGTCTAAGAGCCGCTTGTGGTTTCCACGAACTGTTCTTCGGACACGTCTGGCGGAGTCTGTCTTGTTTTAGCACATCGGGGTTACGTTCTAAGAACATCCATTGTTTTTTGTTATTCGAACAGTTTCGGGTTCTAAGAGCATTTCGTGGTAGGACTATAAGAATGCCGTGACGGTCGGTCCCTGCTCAACAGGTGCTGTCGGTCCCTGCTCAATAGGTCCTGACAGCCCCGAGGCCAGAGGCCCGCCTCCCGAGGCCACACAGGGCGGCACACCGCCCGCCCCGACTCTGGTGTCCGAGGCGCCCGACGTCAGGGTCCCGTCGTGGCCCTCTGTTCTGTTTTTGTTATTCTCTCTCTCTCTCTCTCTGTCTCTCTCTTTCTGTCTCTCTCGGTTCCGGGGGGAGAGGCTGCGGCCTCAGGCCCTCTCGCCCTTTACAGGTATACGCATGCTTATGTATATATATATATATATATATATGTATATATATATACATATAAATATATGTGTGTGTGAGTGTGTGTGTGTGAAAGTGAAAGAGCGTGTTCTACCGCTGCTGGCGGAAAACCGGGGGGGTCACTACCGGTTCGAACCCCTCCCCCCCCCCTTCCGGAAAACCGGGGGGGGTCACTACCGGTTCGAACCCCTCCCCCCCCCCAGTTCATCATGAAAAGGGGGGGGGGTCACTACCGGTTCGAACCCCCCCCCCCTCGAAAGCCGGGGGGGGTCACTACCGGTTCTAATCCCCCCCCCTCGAAAACCGAGTGGGCGAGTGGGGGTGCGGACAGTGGTGGGGACGGTGGTGGTGAGGGGGACAGTGGTGAGGGGACAGCGGGACAGTGGTGGGGACAGTGGGACAGTGGTGGGGACGGTGGTGGTGGGGACAGTGGTGAGGACAATGGTGGGAACAGTGGGGACAGTGGACAGTGGTGGGGACGGTGGTGGTGGGGACAGTGGTGTGGGGACAGTGGGAATGAGGTGGAAACAGTGGGACAGTGGAGGGTACAGTGGTGGTGGGGACAGTGGTGAAGGCGGTGGCGAGGACGGCGGTGGGACAATGGGACAGAGGTACAGTGGGGACAGTGGTGGGGACAGTGGGGACAGTGGTGGGAACAGTGGGACAGCTCAGTGGGACAGCGGAGGAGTGGGACAGTGGGGACAGTGGGGATAGTCGGGCAGTGGTTGGGGCCGTGGAGACAGTGGGGAGAGTGGAACCGTGGTGGGAACAGTGGTGGGGACAGTGGGGACAGTGCGACAGTGGTGGGGGCACTGGTGGGGACAGTAGGGACGGTGGTGGAACCAGTGGGGACAGTGGTGGTGAGGACAGTGGTGCTGGGAACAACAGTGGGGGATGTGGTGCGGACGGTGGTAGGGACCGGGAGTCGTTTGCTGGCGGTGAGTGGGGGGGTGGGGAGGGGTTCGAACCGTAGTGACCCCCCTCCGGTTTTCAAGGGGGGGGGGGTTGAACCGGTAGTGACCCCCCCGGCTTTCGAGGGGGAGGGGGGGGGGTTCGAACCAGTAGTGACCCCCCTCGGTTTTCGAGGGGGGGGGGGGGGGAGGGGTTAGGGGAGGGGGGTTTTGCGGGGGAAGGGGAGGGGGGGGGGGGGGGGGTTCCAGCAGGGTGGGGGGGGGGATTTTTGGAAGGGGGGGGGGGGGAACCCGGGCTCCGGAGGAAGAGGGGGGCAATTTTCCACAGTAAAGCGGCGGTGGATCACGCTCTCTCTTTCTCTCTCTCTCTTTCTCTCTTTCTCTCTCTCTCTCTCTCTCTCTCTCTCTCTCATATATATATATATATTCATGTATATATATATATATCAACACGTAAGTCTCTACATGTATGTATAGATATATGTATATATACACATGTGTAAACATTTATAATGTGTATATATATGTATACAGATACCCGAATTCGGTGGGGGCGTTGGTTATAAGGAATGTGCCCAGGAGGCTTCAGACCCCGGGGGATCCCTTCTCTGATGAGGGCGGCGGTTCTTCCCATGGGAAAATCACGGGTGGGGATCTAGTGGTTTCCAGACCCTGGATTCCTTATCCAAGGGTTCCTGATCCAATGCCCTTACCGTATTTGACATAAACATATGTATGTATGCAGGTATGCATGTATTTGTGCATTATACATGCATGTATATGTGCGTGTTCATGTATATGTGTATAGATACACCAGTATGCATGTATCTAAACACACATTTACACACATGTATATCCGTAAAGGCTTCGCCTCCATGCCGCCGGCCCCCTTTCTTCTTAGAATGGGACTTGTCAGAGCTGTGTTGGGATGTCTGGGCGCTGACGAGTAGCAATGTCGGGACTTCATAAACTGCGGAATATTGCACAACTGCGAATATTGCATGATGTTCAAGCGGCGTATGGCTTCGAGGGCGCGAATATTTCGTAATTATCGGGGGCTTATGTGCGTTTGGCGGCGCGCCGGCCAGCATGAGGCGCACTCGGGAACCGCGCTCTCCGACTTCGCTTGCGCCATGCGCCACGGCGCCTTCTCGCAGACCTGGAGGTTGACACCAACACCAAGATCGGTGGTGTGCCTCCACCGAGGGAAGACGATCCCGATCTCGGTGATGGTGGTAAGATTATGGCTGCCAGGGTGACCGAAATTTACCACCAGAAATCTAGGATCATCTTCCCCCTGTGGAGGCAACCCCTTGTGGTGGTGTTGGTGCCAATTTGTAGGCCTCCAACCTTCGGCGGCCGTGGCCGCGGCAGCCCTGCCCCAGGGGACCGCGGGTCCGTGTCGGGTGCCGGCGCGCATGGTCTCTGGACCAGCCGCTGGAGCGAGGAGGGGGCGCCGCTCTGCCTCGAGATCCGGTGGGCTGGCCCGCGCCCGGCGTCCACCAGGCTTGACGAGACCCAGTTCGACTGGCTCGTGGGGCTGGCCGGCTAGGCGACTCCCGCCGCCCGCCGCGGCCTCGAGGGCGCGTCGGCCGTGGGCATAGCACCGACGCTGGCGCCGACCGCAACACTCACCTCGGTCGCTGCAGCATCCGTGCCGAGACCGTCAGAGAGGCACCGTCAGAGACGACGTCTGGGGGCGGCGAGTCGACGGACGAGGACGCGACTGTGCACGTGCGTAACTTCTTCGAGACGCCCGTGGACCTGTTGCCAGTGGACGTGGACCTCGACGGTAGCGCCGCGCCGTTGCGGCGCTTCATGGCGTGTTTCAGCTCCACGGACATCGGGGACGTCGTTCTTGGACATCGGTGCTGCTGCACACTGGGGCCAGCCTTCGTGCCCAGGGCGTCATGGATGGCGCGATCGTGAACGCGACGCGCTAGGTGCGTGGCGGGACAAAGGGGTCTGGCGAGATCTCGGAGCCGGCCTGGGACGACGAGGCGCCCACGTCCTGGACCTGCCAGGGTTGCCTGGTTCCGAATCGCGCGGGGCTCGAGTGCTTCCAGCGCGGCACGGCGAACCCGCACCTCGTGGGCCTCCCATCCAGCCGCGGCCCCTGCTCTCTGGGGTCGGAGCAGAGTGGCCACGGCGACGGCCCCGCGCCGACAGAAGCCGACGACCTCTTGCCGCTGCCGCCTCCCGCCGAGGACGTGGGCGTCGTGGTCGCCATCGCGGACGCCGCCTGCAACGTGGTCATTGCCGGCGGCGGGGGCGACAGCGGCGACGCGGAGGAGGGTGCCCACAACGGTATGGCGTCGCCGACGCGCCTGAACGGCCATCCTGGGCCGCTTCGGCTGCAAGTGTCCACGGACGACCTCGCAGCGGTCGACGGGGCGGCCCGCGGCGGCCCTCTGCGCCCCCCCGACGAGGCGGCCCACGGCGGTCTGCCGCGCCTGGCCTCCGACGGAGCGGCTGGGGCGCCGCCGCCGCCCCGGCCGCCTCTGCGGCTGGAGCCCGGGCGGGCTATCGACATGTTCGCGACGTTGCTCCGCTCCGTGCACGGAGCCGGCCGCCCGCGCGGCCCGGATCCGGCGCGCCCTGCCCACGGTGGCCCGGCTCTCGCATCTGGCGCAGGGCGCGGTCTCAGTTCCGTCGCGTCGGCCCCCGCTCCGCCCGCGCCTCGGCCCGCGCCTCTGCCCGCCTCTTCCGCGACGAGAGCGGGGCCTGGAGAAGCCGATTGTTCGAGCAGGATCTGCAGGAGGATGACCCCGTTAACCGCCTCGAGCGCGGGCTCGGTGACGTCTGGGAGGCGGCGGCGGATTTCCCCGAGGTCCCTTGGCCGCTTTTCCGAGGCTCCGCCTGGCAAACCGCCCGGATGGGGACTTGGGCTTATTCTGAGGGGTGTCCTGATCCTTGAGCCCCGTGTCCTGGTGCAAGTTATCCGGCGCCTGGCGAGATCCCGTCTGTGTTAGACAGTTGTTTTTGTCAGAAAATATGGCCGTGGTCTTTGCCTTCTCACGATCTCGAACACGGTTTCAAGCTCGCAGTGCAAATCCGTTGCTTCAATGCTTGCGCCTTGGCCCTCGGGATCGCCCCGCGTTTTCGCTGGGCCCCCTCGGAGTTCAACCAGAGCGATGCTGGGGGCCGTGATCACTCCGATTTTTCTTCTAAAAATTTATTTACCGATGTCTTGGACCAACAGCGTGGTTTACGTCAATCCCCCCTCTCCTGTGTCCGCGGCCTTTTGGGCCCGGGCCAGTCCGTTTCGGCCCTCGCATCCGCCCGAAAGGAACGCGACCTCGATGCGACGCCCCTGCGCGCTGAAGGCGCCGACGGCCCGCGCGACTCCGGCAGGGGGCGGGCCCGCCTTGGACGCGTCGCGGGGGCCCCGGGCAGCTCGGGCCTCGAGGGTGTTTTCGTCCAGCGGGCGCGCGCTGGCGACGCAAGCCCTCCCGCTGACCGGCCGGGCGACGCGGAAGCACCAGGTGACGGGGCCCCCGGCGCAGGCGGGGCCGCCGCGGCGGCAGCGAGGCCGGGCGAGGCCCCGAGACACGTCGGCCGCAGGGCCGCGCGAGCCCTCACCCCGCCGACGCCCGAGCTGACGGCGAGGCGGGTGAAGGCGCGCCGCGCCGGGGGGACGGGCCCTCCGCCGCCGCCGCTCGCGACGCTGGAGGACTACGCCGAAGCGGTCGCCGCTGGAGGCAACGCGGGGGGCGCCGCGGCCGATGACGACTCGAGCGCCTCCGACAGCCCGGTGGAGGCTGCGACAGCCTCGCGGCGGTGACCCCGCCCCCCCAGGCCCGCCGCCGCCGCCGACGGGCGACCCTGTGCGCCGACCTCATCATGGCGTCGGCGGGGGGGGGGGCCGACGCTGCTGGAGCGCCTGGCAGCGACGGCCAGGACACAAGCCCGCCATGGCAAGTACCCCGACAGGTTCTACTCGCACTCCGGCCTGAGCGACGCCAATGCGACGATCCTCGCGGACGAGAACTTGGACTGCCACCAGTGCGACTATTTCACCGCCGTGCACCTGGAGGAGGAGCAGGCAAGCCTGGGGGAGCAGACGGGTGCTGCTCTGGTCGATCGGCCCCCGACGTTCGGGCACAACAGATGCCGCTCTCCCGCGGACGCGACGAGCACTGCAGGCGTGGCGTCGTCTGGCGCCCTCTCGGACCCGACGCGGTCTCCCCTTGGCTGTGCGGTCCTCCGTGATGCGGTGCCTAAGAAAGAAGAGGATGCTGGCCAGGGCTCTGTTCGTCGTGGACAAGTTGCCAGCCTAGTCGCGCCCCCCCTCCTTGCTGGCGGCGCGGAGGTGCGACCTGGCGCAGCCGACTCAGGAAGCGGGCTGCTGGGGCCTGCTGACCCACCCCCAGAGGGAGGCACGGCCAAGCAAGACGAACCGCTACGACGAGGGGTGCCTTCTCGACTCACGCTACCCGAGGGGCCTCGGACCCGCCTTCAGCCAGCTGCCCGGGGCCGGCGGCGTGGAGCCTCCCTGGCCGTTCAAGTGTCCCGAGCTGGCCGCCGAGCTGGAGCTGGCGGCGGCCGCGGTCGGGGCTGGAGAGCTGACGCCGCGTCAGCTCTGCCACTCAGGGGCGAGCATCGAGGTATGCAAGCGGGATCGCACACCAGAGGAAGTTAAGAGGCTAGGCTGCTGGTCCCAGGCGAAAAGCATGCACCGCCGCGAACACAATAGCCGCCTGAGTGCCGGGTACAAGAAATACGCCCCGAGGGCCGGCGGCGCCTGTACGAAGCGCGCGAGGCCCACCTGCAGATGATCCTCCCGGTGCCCCACCCAGTGCAGACGCCAGCAGGCAAGGGGGCCTGGCAGGCCCGCAGAGCCGCCTGAGGCGCGTCTGCCGCGGTTGCCGCGTGCGGCAGTTGGGCCCCCAGCGGTTTGAAGGCCTGCGGGGGCGCTATTTAGCTGACCTGCTTGCGGGGAGTAGGTGCATCTCTAAAGCTGTAGAGGCTCATGGACTCAGAGCCCGAAGCTGGGACCATGGCCCCGCGCGGCAGAATTTGCTCGACAACCGCTTCGCGCAAGCTATCGGACGCGACGGCCGCTGCAAGCTTATCCTCGCCGCCTCGTTCGCTCATTCGTGCCGGGCTTTCTCTATTGCCCGGGACAGAACTGCCACAATTCGATCTAGTGATATGCCCTGGGGCCTCCCGCGGGATAGGCTCTCGGCGCGGGATGCTGACGAGGTTAGTCTCGGGGATCAGCTAGCTTGTGCCGCCCGCTCGCTGTTCGCCTTCTTTCTTCAGGCCAAGATTCCCGCTGTCCTTGAACATCCGCTGACTTCGAGATTGTGGCGCACTCGTGAAATGCAGTCACTCGCTCGCCGGGCCAGCGTGCTCCTTGTGGAATTAAACCAATGCCAGTTCCGTACTCAATGCCAGAAACCCACCCGCCTCATGTTAAGCCACGTGCTAGAGGACGACGCGCGTAATCTATGCAGGAGATGCAAAGGCACAGGTGGGCTCTGCTCCCGCACTGGTCGCCCCACCTTCAGCTCGAGGGGGGTGCCCGCGCTCGCCCCGCTGCCGCGTATCCGCCAGAACTTGCCCATTGCTTCGTCAGAGCCATGGCAGCCTCCACTGTGGCCGCTCGTGGTTATAACAAGCTCTCCCCCATGCCCTGCCTTTGTGAACTCCCAATTCGGGCAACATGGGGAGGAGTGGGAGTCGCTTATTTGATGTTAACCCCTGGCCTAGACGTTTCGAGATTTTCGTCAGATCTGTCCCTGCACTTCGGAAAAATAGGTTCTATATCTTATTGAACCGTTCGAGCTGAATTGTTTGAGCGTTGTGATGTGTAGGAGTGTTTTTTACCACCTGCAAGCGATCTCAGGGTTTTACATCGGTTTCGTCTTCCCTCACTCTGTTCTCCTTTCCCTCCTATCCATAGCCTGCCTTCGACCCCACCCTCCACACCCTGGGAGGAGCGAGAGTCGTTTAGTTGACTTTAACCTTTGGCCTACACGTTTCGAGGCTTTCGTCAGATCTGTCCCTGCATTGTGAAAAACGATGGGTTGTGTATTTTACGTGTCCCACGCCCCCCGGGAATTCTGAGAACCCTCCCAGGGCGTGGTGGAAAATCCCGCTT